GCTGCTAACAGGACCACACTGCTAAAAGGACCATGCTGCTAACAAGACCCTGTTGCTAACAGAACCACATTGCTAACAGGACCACACTGCTAAAAGGAACATGCTGCTAACAGCACCATGCTGTAAGGACCTTGATTCTAACAGGACTAGGCTATCAACAGGACCAATGTTTTTATAACACTTTTTATTTTAATTGTTTTTTTAATTTTCATTCAACCTTTATTTAGACAGGTTAATCCTACGGAGCCTCGGGGACTCATTTACAGGAGAGACCTGATTATTGTTGTATATTGTTGTCTGTACTCTCTATAACAGTCTTGTGTGTTGTAGCTTATTGTGAAATTCAGACGATACAATGAACTATTGTTTGTAAAATATTTGTACCCCCTTGCTCTGACACGTTAAAACATCCGCCACCCCGAAGAGAGGTGTGTTGATCTGATCACTGGCCAGCAGCAGGTCTGCTCACCTGGAGAGGGTGGAGCATCAGCAGCGTAACCAAGCATTACCTCATGTGTTCATCCACATCTTTTGCAGTTTTACACCTGGGGACTCGTAGCGCTTCTTACTCTGTTGATACTTTGGGTATTCGTTTCATCGACCGAGCTGAACATGAATAAGGAGGAAGAAGGAGACAAAAAGGAGCCCAGCAAAGGCCAAGGAGAGGAGAAGGAAGGAAACGAAGAAGGCCTTGATTGGCTTCTTCCTAAAGAAGACTCAGAGATTTCCCCTGTGCCTATGGACAGCAACATCTCTCTGTCAAGGTAGCTAATTATTCTGACAAAGAAATGGAGTTTTAGTTCCATCTCGTCGGTCATTTGAAGTTAATGTCAAGTAGCTTGGTGTCATATTTCCTGTAAACAGGTGTCATCCCGTGAAGCCATCTTTGTTCACAAACTCGTCTGCCAACCCATTAACAAATACCATCGTGCATGCGTTTAAATGGTTTTAACCTTCTTTTTGCACCGTTCTGATCGCTGAGCGCCATATTTGTTTTGCTTACATTTCAGGCCTGCTGATGTTGACAACACGTACGGCTCCATGTTCACGAGGGACAAGGTGTTTAAAGCAGCCTCTCAGGGGGACAGAACACAGCTGAATGGCCTGCTTGAATACCTGCAAGTTAACGATAAGAGACTCACAAGCCCAGACTTTACAGGCAAGTGGAATGGAAGCCACTTTGTTGATCTTACAGGAGACAATGTGGAAAAAGTTCTGTCCAAAGAGGGAAAAGAATAAATGATGAATGGATTTATCTGCACATCTGTTAAGACATGTAATAAACACATTGTCTTAGAATATAAGGTGTTGTGATGTTTAAACTGTAAGATCTTAGTAAAACAACATTTTAATAATTATATTTCAGATGAAACTAATGGAAAAACGGCACTTTTAAAAGCTTTGTTGAACCTGAAAGATGGAAAAAACGACACAGTTGAATTCCTCCTTGACGCTGCAGAGAAAACAAAAGATTTAGAAAATCTGATCAATGCGTCTTATACAGACCCCTGCTATAAAGGTGAGCAACCAGACGGGTTATCATGACTGATTTCTACTTTTAATTAACTTTGCTTTTGTTTAAAAAAAAAAATGGATCCTAAAAGGTACAGAATGTATCAAACCTTTAAAAAATGGCTTGGGGTGAATACGTCTGACTGACAATAATTAAAAAATAAAAATCTGTTTCTCAACCTGACAATATGAAACCTGCCTCAGGTCAGACAGCCTTGCATGTTGCCATAGAAAGAAGGAGCTTTGATCACGTCAAGCTGTTGGTCCAGAAAGGAGCAGATGTGCAAGCAAAGGCCAACGGCACATTTTTCCAGCATAAATCAAGACTGGGCTTTTATTTTGGTGAGTAAATTAACACAAAATACACTTAACAAGATGCTTCTCTGTCCTGTCGTTGTGTGACGCTTCATAAGCATTCACAATATTGTGATCCATTTTTCTTCCACATGTTTTTCAACACAATTCTCGTCCCGCAGTTTTCAGCTATTTCAGCAAATCATAAATCAAAACTTTCAGCTCTTTCAGGACAATCCAGCTATGACAGTGTTGCAACTTTAGTTTATTTTTTTATTTTTTTATATTTAGCCTTTTCGGCCATTTTTTTCCTGATAGAAAATAATTTCAGCTCATTTTACATCCTTCAAATCTTTAGATGTGTTTACAACCTTTTACTGCTCCTTTCACATTTTGTTCTGGTTCAGCTTCTTTCAGCTTCCTTGTTCAAATTTAAAAAAAATAATTCCGCTAATTTCTGCTGTTTTGTGCTTCTTTTAGGTTATTTCTGCTAACTACAACATTTTTATGCTTCTTCTAACTTCTTTCTGCTAATTTCAGCTCGTTGTGCTCCTTTCAGCTTATTTCTGCAAGTTTCAGCTTCTACTATTTCAGCTATATAAACACACACGCACACATATAAATATGTTTTATGATAATTTTAGCTTTTTCAGCGAATTCCACATTTTTTGTGCTCGTTTCAACTTTTTTCAGCCTAATTCAGCAAAAATGTGCTTTCTCCACTTCCTACTGGTAATTTAAAATTTCTTTCTGCTTTTTCAGCTACTTTTCAGCTGTTTTATTTTGTTCATTTCTGCTTTTTCAGATAATTTCCACATTTTTGTGCTCATTTCTGCTTCTTTCAGCCTAATTGGGCAAACGTGTTCTTTCTGCTTTCTTCTGCTGGTTTAAGCTTGTTATATTTTTTCAGCTAGTTTTTAAGCATTTTTTGCTCATTTCAGTTGTTTTCAGATAAATCGAAGTATTTTTTTGTGTTAATCTTTGCTACTTTCAACCTAATTTACTTGTTTCTGGTAATTTCAGCTTGTTATGCTGCTTTCAGTTTTTTTCTGCTAGTTTCAGGTTTTTCCTGCTATTTCAGCTAGTTTTTAGCTGTTTTGTGCCAAATTTAGCTTTTTCAGCTAATTCCACATTTTTTAGCTCATTTCAGCTCCTTCCACTTCCTTCTGGTAGTTTAAGCTTCTTTCAAGCCTTTTCAGCTACCTTTCAGCAATTTCTTTTGCTAATTTCAGCTTTTAGCTAATTTCCTGTTTGTGCTCATTTCTGCTTTTTTAACCTAATTCAGCAAATATGTGTTCTTTCTGCTTTCTTCTGATAACTTAGGCTTTATTGTTCTTCCTTTCCAGCTACATTTCAGCATGTTTCTATCTAACTTCAGCTGTTTTTCAACAAGTTCTTCAGCAATCAGCATTCACACTACATTTTTGCAGGAAATGCAATTTTTCTAGTTATTTCTGATTTAGTCTAATCTCCGAACTTGTGTTTTGTTTTGTTTTTTTCAACAGGGGAGCTTCCTCTGTCACTGGCTGCCTGCACAAACCAGCCAGAAATCGTGTCGTTCCTCATGGACAACCCCTACAGACGAGCTGACGCCACAGACAAGGACTCGCTGGGAAACACGGTGCTGCACACTTTGGTGGTCATAGCTGATAACACAACAGAAAACACAGAAATAGCTGCAAGGATGTACGATGAGATTCTTCTTCAGTACCACAAGCTGGAGAAAAACCACCAAACTCTGCTGGAATCGGTTGAAAACAATGAAGGTCTGACCCCACTGAAATTAGCTGCCAAGCTCGGCAGGATCGGGGTAGGTTCTGCACCAATTCAAGCTAGCTGGGTAAAAATAACCAAAATGTTCAAGACAAAACGTCTGCCATTTCCTCTTCTGCAAGACAGAAGATTTGATGTGTAATTTCTCCAAGTTACCTGATCTCGTTTGGTGTCTTGCAGCTCTTCAGGCACGTGCTGAATCGAGAATTTGTGGACGAAGAGACGAGGCCGCTGTCGAGGAAGTTCACAGAATGGGTTTACGGGCCCGTTCACTCCTCCCTGTATGACATGAGCTCCATTGACACCAACGAAAACAACTCTGTGTTGGAGATTATCATCTTTGGGAGTGAAATACCCGTAAGAAATACACGTTTATGGTTTTCTGTTGTTTCACTAATTACTGTCGTTGATGTAAAATGTTTTTTGGAGAAGTTCAGTGTTTCAGGAGAAGACAATACACGTACAACATACACTAAATTGCCAAAAGTATTCGCTCACCTGCCTTGACTCACATATGAGCTTAAGTGACATCCCATTCCAGGACTCTGTGCAGACCAGTCAAGTTCATCCACACCAGACTCTGCATCCAGGTCTTTATGGGCCTTGCTTTGTGCACTGGTGCACAGTCATGTTGGAAGAGGAAGGGGCCAGCTCCAAACTGTTCCCACAAAGTTGGGTCCAAAATGTCTTGGTATGCTGAAGCAGTCAGAGTTCCTTTCACTGGAACTAAGGGACCAAGCCCAGCTCCTGAAAAACAACCCCCCTCCACCAAACTTTATACTTGGCACAATGCGGTCAGACAAGTACCGTTCTCCTGGCAACCACCAAACCCAGACTCGTTTATCAGAGAGAAACACGCCTCAACTGCTCTAGAGTCCAGAGGTGGTGTGCTCTACACCACTGCATCCGACGCTTTGCATTGCACTTGGTGATGCATGGCTTGGATGCAGCTGCTCGACCATGGAAACCCATTCCATGAAGCTCTCTGTGCACTGTTCTTGATCTAATCTGAAGGCCACATGAAGTTTGGAGGTCTGTAGTGACTGACTCTGCAGAAAGTTGGCGACCTCTTCACTCTATGCGCTTCAGCATCCGCTGACCCACTCCGTCAGTTTACATGGCCTACCACATCGTGGCTGAGTTGCTGTAATTCACAAACACTTCCATTTTCTTATAATACAGCTGACAGTTAACTGTGGAATATTTAGGAACGAGGAAATTTCACGACAGGTTTTGTTGCATGGGTGGCATCCTATCAGTTCCACACTGGAATTCATTGAGCTCCCGAGAGCGACTCATTCTTTCACAAATGTTTGTAAAAACAGTCTGCACGCCTAGATGCTTCATTTTATTCACCTGTGGCCATGGAAGTGATTGGAACACCTGATTCTGATCATTTGGATGGGTGAGCAAATACTTTTGGTAAGGTAGTGTACTTCGTACATGAAGCTGATTGTATACGGTGAACAAATACCTTCTGTTTTGTAAAATGAAAAGTACCTCCGTAGCCAAAGGCAGCACGTCTCAGAGGGACGTATGATTTCTACAAATTGTAAACAAGTGAAAAGAAACTGAATGTTTGAGTCGTGATGTTTCTTATTTCTTCTTCTTATATATAAATCATTCTTAACCTCAGTAAATAACTCACAACAAGACAACATTATACACAATCTCATGCAACATTGTGATATCTTGTGTTATCTCCTAATGCGCAGAGTTTGTGTTGTTATTGACTCTCAGCTACTACCACAACAAATTTTAACTCCATATCTTTAAAATTCACCGGGGTATAGACGTTTTTGTGCATGGTAAATTGATTAGCTGTGATAGCCTGTTGTAATTGATTACATATGTTAATCATTTGTAGATGTACAACTAATAATTACTTTCCAGTGGTTCATGAGATATTTTGCTAACTCTAATGATGGTTAAAAAAAAAAGAAATGAGGATATATTTTTTTTAATCCTATATTTACATCCTAATTAATCACTTTCCAATAAACCTATAAAATTAACCCTGACTGTTCAGATATCTCTGTTGAACAAAATATTTAAATCTAAATTATTAATTTTAATAAGCATAAAAAAGAGCATGTATGTAATTTTAAAGACTGATAACAGCACGAGTTAAAGGATGATGGTTTCAGCTCTAGGTGTCACGGTTGGATGAAGATGGATCCAGGAGATGCAAACTTAAAGAGTTTGAGTAAAAGTGAAAACTGAACTTTATTTACTGAACAAAACAAAGAAGGTGGCGTGGCAGCAGTTTCCTTACAACAAAAACATGAGAAGAACATGAATACGGACAGTCTTGTTCCATGGGCTCAACTTGGCCCTCTGGTCCACAGGTGTGTCTTCAGAGTCTTTCCACCGGGTGGGAGCTAGCCTCCGCGTCTTCTTGAAAACCTCTCAACCACATTTAAATTTAAAAATGATAGGACATTTATTAAAATGATGACACGTAAACCAAAGCTGTGGCACAACGAGGAGGTGCAGATGTTCCCGTGCTTGTTGACAGAATTCAGACGGAGATGGACCAAATGGACTCCATCTAGACGCTCTGACCGGCGGAGGCAAGGCGGCCTCGACTAGTCAGCAATATCTGTAGAAACGGTGGCAGAGGACGGTGAGATGTTTGGGACTTTATTTCACTTATTTGCCCGTTGCTGTCTTGTCTTGAATGGAAGTTTCAGGTGTCCGCTCTACAACAATGCCCTCCACATCCAAACGGCACACGAGTTCTATTGAACACCACCGAGCTCGTACAGACCTGACTCACCTGAGCGGCGTTAGGTGGCCTGGACGTGGTGTGTGGACACATAATGCTCCACTGAATGAAGGCTGAAGAGTTATGAGGACTGAGGCTCATGAATGTAGTGGAAACACCTGACGTGATGACAACTGGGGACAGGTGAGAGTGGGCGGGGCAGGACTGAGGAGCGACGACAAACGGTGGACAACATCTCACATGGAGGCGATGAACAAACTGAACACAAAGCAATGCAGAAACTAAACACCATTTAAAATAAGCTCCAGAACAGAAACAAAACACTGAAAACCATATTAGTTGTTGTGAAACTGTTACGCTGCTCAATGAAAGATGTAATTCTCTATGAGGCTTTTTTTTCATTCATTCATTCAACCTTTATTTAGACAGATAAGTCACATTGAGCCAAGAAGACTCATTTACAAGTGAGACCTGTTCAGACAGACAGAAAGTAGTGAAAGTGGACACATGTTGACGGGGCCGTATCCAGACTGAACTGATACAACAAACCAATAAAGAGTTACAGAAATATTTTTATTTAGACATATAAGTTGTGACTTTATGTTTTAGAATCGTCCCGAGATGCTCCAGATTGAACCTCTGCGCAGCCTTCTCCATGATAAATGGGAGAGGTTTGCTTACAAACTATTCCTGATGAATTTTGGGCTTTATTTGACGTACCTGACCATCTTCACCACTGTGGCTTTCTACAGGAAGCACGGACAGGTGAGGCAGAGAGGTGAATGTATAATAATCTGCTAACCTCCAAAGGACAACTGATGTGTTCCTTTTCACCCACAGCCTCCGTTTCCTGTAGAAAACAGTCCAACCGACCACCTCCGCTGTGCCGGTGAGATCATCAGCGTCCTCGGAGCAGTCCGGTTTCTATATAAGACGGTGAGACCAAAAAAAGAACAAATCCCACGGAAATAAGTCCAACGTGGCGGCGTTACCATGTCTGCTCTGTTCATCTTTAGATTATAATCTTCAAGAAAAATCCTCCAAACACAAGAGCTCTGTTCACTGACGGATTCAGTGAAATTCTGTTGTAAGTATTTATTAAATGCAGAGAAACTTCACAGCTGAGGTGCTTTGGTCAAAACTGTTGATGAGAATATTTTAGTGAGGTCAGAAATTAACCTCCAAAGATTTTTTTTTAGATTGCAAGCAAGATGGGTTTTTTTTTTACTATAAAATATTTAACAAAAAAAGGTACAAATATAGACAATTTGGGCTGTTTTAAACTATATGTGTTGAACTTTCTTGAAATTATTTTTTCTGTATCTCTGGTTTAAGGCAAAAACACGTAAATGCAAATTTGTAGGTTTTTGACAGTTTTAAGTCTCGTCAAATCCCTCGTTAGATATTTTGAAGTAAAACAGACAAGTTGAAACTGAATACTTGTATGATGTGTACAAAGGTTGGAGTTTCTGTGTTATCCATCCATCCATCCATTATCTTTACCTGCTTCTTCCTTCTCGGGTTACGTGGGGTCACTGGTGCCCATGTCCAGCTATCACTGTGTGAGAGGTGGGGGACACCCTGGACATGTCTCAAGTCCATCGCAGGGCCATTTCTGTGTTGTGAAAATCTGATTTAACAAGGAGAACAATGGAGATACAGAGGAGGATTAGCCTCCACGCCACACGTTGATGCTGGAGCACAGGATGCTCTCCACTGCACACCTGTAGAAGGAGGTGAGGACGATGCTGACTATGTTCCCATACAATGGTGACATTAGTTCTCTGCATTTAACCTATTGCACATGGGATACACCCAGGTGGAGCAGTGGGCAGCTAGCACCCGGGGAGCAATTAGGGATTAGGTGTCTTGCTCAGAGACACCACGGCTGGGGATCGAACCTGGGACTTTTGGGTACCGAGTCGGCTGCCCTGCCTCTGCCCCATCTCGGCCCCAACGTGACCCAGAATGATACAATACGACACGATGAGATAAGATACGATAATATAATTTAAAGTTTTGCTTTGTACAACAAGACTCTGGTAATAACTTCATCCATCCATCCATCCATTATCTTTACCCGCTTATTCCATTTTGGGTCACGGGGGTCGCTGGTGCCCATGTCCAGCAATCACTGTGCGAGGGGCGGGGTACACCCTGGACGGGTCGCAAGTCCATCACAGGGACACATGGAGACAAACGAGACAAACAACCATTCACACCTAGGGACAATTTAGAGTTACCAATCAGCCTAACATGCATGTTTTTGGTCTGTGGGAGGAAACCGGAGCACCCGGAGAAAACCCACGCATGCACGGAGAGAACATGCAAACTCCACCCAGAAAGGCCCCCGGACCGGGGTTTGAACCGGCAACCTTCTCGCTGAGAGGCAGCAGCTCTACCAGTTGCGCCACCGTGCTGCCCGTAATAACTTCAATAAAGAATAAAATAGATCCAACAGTATCGTCATGGAACAAAATAATAAATTATGTTTTTTTGTCAGTTTTTGTCATGATCCACGTTTTTCCAGTGTTGTGTTTTCTGTTTTAATGTTTATTTACGTTACATTTTTCTATGTGCTTTGTTCATTTCCTCTGTACTTTTCCTTGTCAGCCTTCACTTCTGGTGCAGTCGTCCTCCAATTCAAGAGTTGAGGGTTCAAATCCACCAGCAGTCACATGCCAAAGTGTCCCTGGACAAGACACTGAACCCCTCATTGCCTCTGATGTGTGTCCCATCAGTGTATGAATGTGATAAAGCTCTGATTAGTCTCTTTAGAATGATTTGATCAATTAGCTTTGTAGAGATCTAGTATAGAGCTGTATGAATGGGTAAATGAGGCACAGATTGTAGTGTAAAGTACTTTGAGTGTCTTGAAATAAGATAGAAAGGTGCTACATAAGTACAGTCCATTTACCTTCTTAAAATCTTCTACATTTTTCTTCAGGCTCTTTGTGTTTGTCTGGGCCTTACTCTACAAACCTTGATAGCTTCGTAGCAAAGTCTAAACAAGGAAGGAGGACGAGAGGACGAGCAATGACAGGTGTGAAGACAGAGCTGAGACAGGGTTGATGCTGGGAACTTGAAATGCTAAATTAAAAAAACAGAAAGCTGTGCTGAGTTGACTGATTCTAAAAGATACATTTATGCAAACCAGGAAACGATCAACAGTCTCTGTGGTAAAGGTTAAGCTACTTTTACTAAACTCTATGCTCCAACAAGCTTTTTATTTCGCTGCACAATTCTTCCTCTGGTGTTTTATTCTCTCGATAGCAACAACTGCTGTGTCAGCGTCCCCTGCATCTATGTCCATGCGTCAGAGGACTGCAGCAAGTGCAAAACATGTTGTAATGTTATAGTGAAATAGTCGCACCACAGCTGCACCATGCATGTTTTTGCCTGATACTTTAAAGAACACCTGTAAAATGTTTCTTTTCTCAACCTGTTTGCAGTTTTCTGCAGGCAGCCCTCCTCCTGATCTCTGTCTTTCTGTACTTCTGTGGGCTGAAGGAATATGTTGGGCTCCTGGTGCTGTCCCTAGCTCTTGCTTGGATGAATGTTTTGTATTACACAAGAGGATCCAGGCAGCTGGGGATTTACAACGTCATGATGCAAAGGGTAAGACCAGAGGTCAGAGAACGGTGGTCGATCAGAAACTGGTTGTTGTTCACAGTTTTTTTTTTTTTTGTCTCTTTAGATGATCCTGGGAGATTTGTTGCACTTTCTTTGTGTCTACGTCGTCTTGCTTTTTGGCTTTTCCGCTGGTAAAACTTTGATTATAAATCCAATCAACAATCTATAAAGAAGTGGGCTTTAAAGTTTACAGCTTCTGATTTTTTTTACCTCTGGTAGCTGTTGTCACTCTAATCGATGACTCACCTGTGGAGATGAAAAACGACTCTCTGGCACGACGAAGGAGCTTTGACGCTGAAACATTCAAGTGCAGGAAGCCAAGTTATAACGACATCCGTTTTACAACGCTGGAGTTGTTCAAGTTCACCATCGGGATGGGAGATCTGGAGTTCACTGACCACGTTCAGTACAAAGAAGTCTTCTGCATCCTGCTCATCTCGTACATTGCGCTCACCTACATCCTGATGCTCAATATGCTCATAGCCCTGATGGGAAACACGGTCGAAAAAATCTCAGGACAAAGTGAGACCATCTGGAACCTGCAGGTAGGAACACCCTCCCAGGATTAAATCAATCTTATACATCTAGGAGAATTAGGGAGTTCCAATGCAGAGTTGAGTTCTCTTATTAAAAGTTTTAGCTCTGTATCTGGTTGAACTGCTTGTAAATAAAAATGTAAATTACTGTATATGGCTCAGGAATCATATGCTGTGACATTTGGTAGTGGTACGTCATGTAAAAGAAAAAACAAACAACGGTTATCAGTGGGAGTTTGGTGAGAAATCCCAGCCCTGTTTGGAGCTCTGCAGCTCAGACTTCACAGCAGAAACATCATTTAAGGTTTAAACAGGCTGCAGAAAGTTAGACTTTACATGACTGAACTGCTGTTTGGATATCTTTTTCAGTTTTTACACAGTTTATGTTTTATGATTTTTCCTCTCACACAATGTTTAAATTAAAATCACACACTAATTTTTGAAATGTCTAAAAATTTAAAACCTTTGTATACAAACTTCTTACTCCCACAAGTTTTTCAGCTTCAAGACAAATTAGACAATAAAATGTAGAGTTTTTTGTCTTCTTTCCCCCGGCAGGTCTCTGATTGATATATGATTTATGGTTTTCGCTCAAATCTTTTCAGAATAAAAATAAAAACATTAAAGTTTCTATACTTCAGTTAGATTTAAGCTATTTTTTTAAACTTGAAGCAAAAGGTCTTTTTAACTTTTCATACTTACATAACCGGCCCAGACAACATCCCTGGAAAAGTGCTGAAGGAATGTGCTGATCAGCTCTGTGAGGTGCTGGCAGACATCTTTAACACCTCACTTACCCTGGAGACAGTTCCCACCTGCCTGAAGACTGCCACCATCATCCCAGTCCCAAAAAGCTCTACAGTGACTGGTCTGAATGACTATCGGCCAGTGGCCCTCACCCCGATAGTCGCTAAATGCTTCGAAAAACTGGTCATGACTCGCATCAAAACAACCACCAACATCAACGAGGACCCTCATCAGTATGCATACCGTGAGAACCGATCAACAGAGGATGCCGTCTCCTCTATGGTCCACACTGCGCTCAACCACCTGGAGCAGAAAAACTCTTACGTCCGTATGCTCTTTGTGGACTTCACATCTGCCTTCAACACCATGATCCCCCAAACCCTGATGGACAAACTATCCACACTAGGACTAAGTCCCTCCATTTGCAACTGGGTACTAGACTTTTTAACAAACAGCCCACAGTTAGTGAGGATCCACAACTTCTCCTCCTCCACCATAACCCTCAGCCCTGGCTCTCCTCAGGGATGTGTGTTGAGCCCCCTCCTGTTTACTCTGCTCACGTATGATTGTGCAGCTACCCATCCAGGCTGTCACATTGTAAAGTTTGCAGATGATACAGCGGTGGTGGGATGCATCACAAACAATGATGAGTCCAGCTACAGGCAGGAGGTGGAACACCTGGAGAGCTGGTGCAAAGAAAATAACCTTCACATCAATGTGAAGAAGACAAAGGAGATGATTGTGGACTTCAGAAGGAACAAAAACATCTACACCCCCCTGAATATAAGAGGATCTGCGGTGGAAGTGGTCTCCAGATACAAGTACTTGGGTGTACACATGAATGACAACCTCAGCTGGAGCAACAACACCACCAGCCTGATCAAGAAAGCTCATCAGAGACTCTACCTCCTCAGACGGCTGAGTCTGGGAAGCTCAGTCCTCACCTCCTTCTACAGGTGTGCAGTGGAGAGCATCCTGTGCTCCAGCTTCAACGTGTGGCATGGAGGCTGCACAGCTGCAGTAAGAAAAGCTTTGCAGAGAGTGGTGAAGGCTGCACAGAAGACTGTCGGAGTCAGTCTCTCCACCATCACAGACATCTACACCTCCAGATGCAGGAAGAGAGCCACCTGCATCATGAAGGACCCCACTCACCCAGCACACACACTTTTTGCCCCACTCCCCTCAGGAAGGAGGTTAAGGAGCATTAAGTGTAGAACCACTAGACTGAGGAACAGCTTCTACCCTGAAGCTGTTAGACTCATGAATCTCTAACTAGAATAATCACTGTGAAAAATCACATCATGTTGCTGCTGATCTGTTTCATGTTGCTGCTGATCTGTTTCAATGTTGATGTGTTCATGCGTGCTCATCTGCTCACACAGACATGCTCATGTTCCTACTGCTGTTCGACGTGATGTTTTTATGTTATTAGTGCTTAGTGTATTTTCTTAGTTCATATCTTAGATATTGTCATTGTTTTTGTTTTACATTTTATTGTTGGATGTAACTGGGACCCTGTGTACATAATTTTGTTCGCACCACATGTACCACATGAGGTGCAAATGACAATAAAAATCTCTGACTCTGACTAAAATCTAACTTATTTAGACTGAGTTCAAACAGAAAAACACCCTTGACAAAGATCATATGGAACATATATAAATTACTTTTACAATCCAATTTAATCCTGTCTTCAGAGAGCCTTCACAATTCTGGACCTGGAGAGGTCTCTTCCGAGCTGGCTGAGGCGTAAGCTGCAGTCCAGAGTGTCGGAGGTCATGTGCTTCGGAAGTGAGCGAGATAAGTGTCGAAGATTTGTCAGGTAAGGATAAAACATTGTGTATGACAGGCTGACATGTTGGCTGCATATGAAACATGACGCGTTTTAGTTCAATAACTGTACGATGTTGAGCTGTTTGTATTTTATTTAATGAGGCAAGACAGTTTGCTTCAATTCGATCAGAGCTGTCCAATCCTCGTCCTTGAGGGTCACTATCCAGCATTTTTCACTTGTTTTTCTGCTTCAACAGACCCAATTCAGTGTTTAAATCACCTCTTCAGGTTCTGCAGAAACCTATCACACGCTGAGTCGACTCTGGTGTGTTGGAGCAGAAAAACAGATAATGGCTCTCAAGGGCCAGGATGGGACACCCCTGAGTTAGATGGTGAAATAGTTGTAGTAGCGGTGGCCATCTTGGATTTTGAACCAATTTTTTAAAGGAAACTTTCTTACATCTAGATGTAACCGCACACCTAAATAGAAGTCATCATTTATTTTGCTAGTTATTATGCTCACAGATATGGCTAGACAGAGGTTATTTCCAATTCCTCCTCTTTGCTTTTCAGTGAGGGACAACAATTAACAAGTAATTTGAGACATATTTCATCATCTGGGGTTGTATTTTCTCAATTTTAGGATTCAAAAAGGAGCAGAAAGGGCTTCTTATTATTATTCTGTTACATTAATATGTCCTGAAATGTAAACATTAAAACTGAACAAGGGTGTGAGATGGCACAGGGCTTCCAACGAGACAAAGCTGCCTCGGTACCCTAAATGGACAACTCACTTTAATTACATAAAAATCTCTTTCTTGGTGTCTGAGGTGGAATTTATGTTTCAGTTGTTTAAAAATAACATTTTTCATTCCATAAATATTGTTGTGTTCAGTAAAGATAATGCAAAGACCCTACACTGATCTGACAGTGAAGACAGGAGATTAGTCAGACTAATACATAAATACCTTGATGTGGGACTTTTCTCCTCAGTGTGTTGTACTATAGGAAGCTCTAATGCCATGTGTTTTGTCTCATGAAGCTTTTCCAGAGTGACACATGATCAGAGACTCTTTAATTTATTCAGGGTGACTGAAATTAATTGGAAAAAATGGAAATCAGATCTTGGTGTAAAACTGAAGGAAGACCCTGCAAATCATCTAATGGAAGAACAGAATGACAATGGATCTTCAGGTAGGACATCAGTCTTTATATAAAGTTTTATCTCCATTACTGTTTCCTGTTGCTAATAAGCTAATGTTTAACCCTTTAGGGACTGTGTGGAACATAAATCAGTTTCTGGAGAGGATTCGGTCCAGACGACGCCAACAGCAGCACAGCCATGTTCTCTAGTTCCAAAGTTTTTTATGAAACATTTTTCTTGGATTTTTTTTTAAATAACCTGTACTGACTGTTCTCTTATAAAAATGGAGGACACTAATTTTTTATTACACATCCCTAGTTAGTTTCAGTTTCTACAAAAAAGTGTTCAAAACCACCATAAACCACTCAAGACCTCAATCTCAAACTCTGAATGAACAGCAAGACATCTGGAACAATGTCCTTTGAACAAATGACACCAAAGTCCAGATGTTTACTCATAGTACACAGCAGCATATTTGGATCAAACAATTCATCAATTATCTTTATCCACTTTTCCTTTCTGTTTCACGGGTTGCTGGAGCTCATGTCCAGCTGTCACAATGGGAGAGGCGGGATACACACTGGACCGTTGGAAATCAAATACACGGATGCATAGAAACAAATGAGACAAATAAACACTCTCACTCAGACCTATGACAATGTTGAGTTACCAAAGAACCTAGCATGCATGTAGCTATGGTAGAATGCTTAAAAAATACAGTACTACATATTTTATGCAAACAAAAACCAACACACAGAAGTCTAGAAAAACACATGAACAAGACAAGACTATAAAGTAAAGACAATAAATTCTTTAAGAACACACATGCGCACGCACACACGGTTCAATAGTGATCACAGGTTTGATGTTTCTTCAGATGTTGTTTAAGATTTGTCCAAAATATGTCAAATGTAAAAGAGTGGGCCAAGAATAGAGCCTTGTGGGACACCAACAAGGTAAGGGTAAAAAGTTTTAAACTAATCAACCCAAGCATGATGTTTTCTGTTCAACAGAAATTATTTTATCAAAAGAGAATTTATTTAGATAAGTAAAATAAAGAGTGTCATTTTAAATAAAAGGGCTTAGTTTATTTTTACTATTTATATAATCAAACACAGTTTTAAAAATATACTGAGCAAAACATATATTTTTGTGTGCTTCTCTCAACGAATTAAAAAAAACTTTTACGCTACTGTTCTCTTTGATACAATAATATAATAAATACTGAATATGATGAAGACTATCCAAATTTTTATATATTAAAAACTACCTTAGAAATATGCGAAAATCTATAAAATAGGGAAACCGCAACAGCATAACAGTATTCATACATTTTAACATTAGATTTTTTTCTTTCTAGACTAAAACAGTAAACAAATTTTGATTTCAAAATTTTAACTGATAAAATCCATGTTTGTAGTATTATAATGGTTTCGAGTGTCCAGTTTATGGTTATGGACCGCAGTTAAAAAAACAGTGCACTGTTGTTTTTAATTCAAACATGACAGTATTTGTCATTACTAAAGGTAAAAGGGACAAGCATATACAATGGCAGTAAAAATAACAATTAATTATAGTTAGATGTTTTTTTTTAACTTGATGTGTTTTTTTTGAATACTTAAAGTCTTAAAAAAGAGTGAAGCCATACAAATCACATTGAAGCATTTAAGAAAGTTATAATTTGTTGACATCATCCAGGTGTCCTTTAATAACCCAAGTAAGATTTATTCATGTTAAAATAAAGCAAAATATATACACAAGGACAAATAATTTTTATTTTTATTTTGTTTATGCTAAATTGTAGACCCTTCTGCATTAGTTTTTCCACACTGTTAGATAAACTGATCAGATTGTTTTTGTCAATCAATCAATCAATCAATCAATCAATCAATCAATCAATCAATCAATCAATCAATCAATCAATCAATCAATCAATCAATCAATCAATCAATCACTGTACCTTATGCTATCTGTCCAAAACAGGACTCTCTTTCTCATGACTCAGTGAGACTAAGCTGTATAAATAAAGGTTGAATGAATGAATGAAGGGGAAGGAGAAGATGAGCCTGTGATCGGAAAGTCGCAGGTTCAACTCCCGGTACCGTCTACATCAAAAAGTGTGTGGAAAAGGTGAAACACCACCCACACCTGTCTCCACCCTCATTTGCCCCACTCTGGGCCCCTGAGCAAGGCCCTTAACCCCCCACCATTTGCTCCCAAAAACAGGTCTCTCTTGAAAATGAGTTCTCGTGACTCATTGAGACTACCTGTATAAATAAAGGTTAAATGAACGAAAAAGGTAAATGAAAAGAATCAAATAAATAAATAAATAAATAAATAAATCTGTGGGACTTTTTGATCAGGCGCTCAGCAGCTGGGGGTCCTTTTCCTCTGCGCATGCTCAGTAAAATGTCGCTGCCGTAGCTAGACAGCAGCACGGAGCAGCAGCTACACGGAGGATGGTTTCTTCGTTTTCTTAAGGCTGTCAGTCTTATAACCTGACAAAATGAAGTTTTCCAAGTCATAGCTCGGTGAGGAGTAAGTACAATCTTCTTTAAAACGCGTCGCCTTGTGTTTTCCATCAATGAAAAGTTGAAGCCAAGCACTTGGCCTGGTCACAACAAGCACAAAGAAGCTGCTTATTGTGCTTGTTCACTCGAAGTAACCTTTCAGTCGATGTCATTTGACCATTTCTTATTTAAATTAACCGAAAATCGCTACTTTGTTGATCCCCCTGTTTATGTGTAGTTGCTGGAGTGGCCCAAAATCGTATTTAATACACCGACACCACTGTTAGCTAGCTATTTGAACGTACAACACATTATCCCTTCATGTAATGTGGTTAACGTGAGCTAGCTGCTCTCTGACTGTTAACACGTGATTATTTATGTGGTTAAACATGTTTGGGGGATCTAACGAAGGCTTTTATAGAGGATGACGTCATGAATGATTGACGGCAGAACGTTACAGTGGCCTCTGTTCAAAATGTCGCATCATGCATCTGTCAGATAAACAGATGATTTATTGATCCCAGAGGGAGATGAACAAGTCCAGTGGCATCATTGTACCATACAAACTCATCACATGGAGCGAACAGGTCAGTTTAATGTTAATTTTTCCCGTTCTGACTGTGTTCATGCTGCTGGGGGGCATTGCACATTATGGATGAGTGTTTCTGCTGAACATGATTACGTCAGCAGTCCGTCACCGAACACACGACTGTCTGGTGATCCTGCTGAGCAGAGGGTGATGGTCCAGGGTGGCCACAGCTCCTCCAGGGTCCAGCTCTTTACTCAGAACAGATTTAATCTTCCCCACCACCACACTTCTTCCTTGGGACCCGAATAACACTAGTGTTTCATGGGTTGTCTTTTTAATTTATCAATGGTATTTGTGTGTGTATATGTACACACACAACTACTTCAGTTTGGGTACTTGCCAGAGTAGTAATAAAATATTACACAATAAGTTTAGAAACGCAGTTTTTATTAAGAACGCATCAAACAGCTCATCTGTGTTTATCTTAAAATATCTCTTAAGAGATAAGAGAAAATTACATCAACGAGCATAAATATGGTGATGTACTCAAGCACAGGGGTGTTTTATGTGAGCTTGAGGCTGGTATCTGGGCTGATACCAGTATTCATTCAACCTTTATTTATACAGGTTAATCTCAATGAGCCTCGGGGACTCATTTACAAGAGAGACCTGATTTGGTATCAAAAGTATCGGTATCTATCGAGACACCATACACACGTTTTTAAGCTAAATCCAGAAGGTATTTCAAACATTCTGCCATAAATCTTCCAACTCAACCTTTTAAATGTGTCTGAGCAGGAGAAGTGAATAAGTGATGAATCATAGTGTGGAAATGGGTGATGAATTATTGTGTGCAGTGTGTTCTTCCAGCGAAGGAGATGAGAACTGAAATCACTTACAGGTTGAAATAAACAATGGTTCTTGTTGAGCACTGATTTTATCAGGACTGCTTTACTTTGCTGCACTGCAGCTTTAGGATACTTTTGTTGTGATCCGGAGCTTTAAAAACTGTTTTTGTTTAGAAAAGTGGATTTTATGACGCACTTTGAGGACATCTTTAATGTAGAGTCATGATCTCGAACACTTAAATCCACTGAACGTCTCCTTGTGTTGTGATAATGCAGCTTTTTACCGTCTCCACTGTGGCTCGTTACTGACTGCAGTGTGTACACAGCGAGCTTTTTACACCGTTATATCACTTTATTACAAGCTGCCATTTGCAAAAGGTCAGCGTGAGCAGGATGTGAAAGTCTGTTCTAGCAAAGCCATTTCACACTAAATGTAAGTGGCTGATTTGTACTTTCTCTGTTTGCTCCCAGTATGAGGAGAGGAGCCTGTCCATGCAGCAGTAGTGGTAAAGTGACATGCTGGCTTGTTTGCCAGCATCAGGTGACCTTACCTTCCGATTTCTTCCTCGCACGCAGATGAACACTGGACTTCAAAAATGTAAGTACTTTTTAATCATCCGTCGCTATAAAAGGCAAATGTGTGTCTGTTAGCAAAATGTTTCGTTAACCACTGGACAGATTTTAACGAAACCCTCAAAAATGACTCGCTGGATGAAAATCTACAACTTATTTACTTTGAGTCAGCCCAATTTAAAATGGACGCCACAGCTGATGGACCTTAGTACCACAAGAATGTTTAAAACAGTCATTCTCACAGATCGTAAGCTCAGGTTTGGTGTGGTAGTAGCTGAGAGTCATCCTATTTACATACCTCGAGCTCTGCAGATCGCACTAAATCTGTTTCAAGCTTTGTCAGGAGTTATTCATTCCATCGAGGATTGTTATTTTTCATTTTTCTTCTACTTTAGTTTTTTTTTTTTTTTACTTTTTATGGTCATGTTGGTGTCCATAAGGGTTTAGAAAATAAGCGATTTTGTAATACAGACTGGGGCTTTCATTCAATGTTTGTAATTTTATTGATATAAAAATCTCCACGAGCTGCGTTATAAAACCTGGAACATTCAAGAACCATGAGTAAATTAGAAAAGAAATGTATCGGCTAAACGTGTAACTTAAATTTTATTTAGTTGTAAAATGAAGGTGATGGCTTTTTGAGGTTGTCTTGAATTTGGTGTAAAATATCAGTAAAGGCTAAATGGAGTTTCATTCTCTTCTTATCATCGTGTGTAGCTTTAAGTCAGATTTCGGGGTGTTATGTTGTACTAGGCTGTCTGATCTCAGTCGGTGTTCTTTGCTGTGGTGGTCTAATTTTGTCCACCTTTCAGGGGAAACCACACAGAAGATGAGATCTGCAATCTATCCAACCCCAGCCGAGTTGGATGCCTATGCTAAGAAAGTTGCCAACAAACCTTTGAGCATCCAGATCTTCCCTAACAGTATCAAAGTACCTCAGAGGAAGCACATTCGTCGCACAGTCAACGGGCTTGACACGTCCCTGTCCAGCCAACGTCACAGTCCTTACGCTTCTCAGGTCACCACCAGAGGAGGCCTGCTGGCCGTCCTCCGTGCACCAATCAAAGGCTTTGTCAAAGAATCACACAACAGTCGCACTCGACAACAACAAAAGGCAGCCATGAACCCTCAAACTGGGCCGTACGCTGCTCAAAGCACTTTAAATCTTCCTCACCCTGCTCCTCATTTACCTGGTCCCTCTCAGCCCGCTGCCCAGAAGCAGGGAATGGTTCACACACGGGCAATACCACATCAAAGTATGACTCATCCGATGGCTTTACAGCAGCACCACCCACAGGCTTTACAGCAGAGGAACATGGCTCATCCTGAAGCACTGCAGCGACAGCAGAGCATGTCCCAGGTTCAGGCTGCACAGCAACAAAGACTGGCTCACCCCCAAGCTCTACCGAGGCAGCAGAGTGCGCCTCACAGCCAGGCTTTACAGCAGCAGCAGGGCCAGTCTTGTTCATCAGTCATGCCACAGCAGCATCTTTCTCATGTGCAGACACTGAAACATCAGACAGCTCCTCCACAAGCTGCACACACTCAGCAGGGAGTGACTCAGGATCTGCGCCACCTTTCTGATGGAGCGCCGCACCAGAGCTTGCAACACACCCAGGGGCTAGTGGGCTCACAGGCTCTTCCCCATGCAGTGCCTACAGGCCCTGCTGCCATGTCCAACAGCCTCCAGCAACCCCCAGCAGGACAGTATGGGTCACGGAAGCTGCCAGATGTGGACGCCCCTCCAAATGTAACCGTATCTACCTCCACCATACCGCTGTCCATGGCGGCTAGTTTGCACCAGAACCGTCCTGGTGACCTGAGCATCATTGTGCACCAGATCAACCAGTTGTGCCAGGCTCGGGCTGGCATGGGCACCACATCTGTCTGTGAGGGCCAGATTGCAAACCCCAGCCCCATTAGCCGCAACTTGTTGATCAACGCCAGCTCAAGAGTGTCTTCTCAGCACTCTGCTTTGGGCAACGGCTCCAGCTGCCTCATGGTGGGACATCTGGATAAGGCTGCTGCGCAGACGCCCTGTGGTACGCTCCATTCGCAGACCAGTACAGCCACTCCTAACAATACGGCTGCCCTTTACACAGACAGTGAGAAGATACAACTGCAGCAGCAGCAGCTTCAGCACCATTTACAGAAACAGCAGCAGCAGCAACATTTACAGCAGCTGCAGCAGCTGCAGCAACAGCGCTCCTGGGCCCAGCATCAACTAGCTCACATGCAGCAGCCCCCCGAAGGAGTTCACCCCTGCAAAAACCCAAGAATGGAGCCTCCAGCTGAATGTGTTTTTCCATCTCAAAACCTCAGCTACACCCACAAGCTGGCCAGCAGCGGACATGGCTTCCCTCTTAAACATCCCGCTGAGAAAACACATTCTTCCTCCCCCGTGAACTGCCCGACAGGATCGATGCCTTTTGTTAACGGGCACTACATGCAGCCACCATGGAGTGGCATCCCAACCACAGCTGGTAACAACGGAGCTGGTCCTCAGGACCTCCCAGTGGCCTATCAGGGAGGACAGGCTGCGGCCTCCACAAACCGCACCCCAGGAGCAAAATACAAGCCAGGGAAAGAAGGACCCACTGGCCAGTCGAAGCTGATGCAGCGGGTGGATTTCTTAAATGAGGACTTCCACCTGCCCGGCTTACAGGATCAGAACATGGATGTGATCCAAAAGATGCACAGGTCTGCTATGGGCCAAGTTAAGGAGCCCGGCACCAGTGGAAGCGTCCACACCCATCACCCAGGCTACCATTAGTGTGCGTTTGTTCCTCGTCTTTAATTAGCACTTTCAGTTTCTGTGTTTTTGTTCTTTACAGTTTTGATCAGGTAGATAGATTTGATTGCTTCAGAGCTTAATTTGATCCGGTGAGGGATTGATGGTCCACCTCTGGGCGGGTGACAGCCGGGATGCGGTCTAGCTCCTCCTGCTGACCCTAAACGGGATGAAGCTGATTTGGGGGGAAAGAAACTGATGAGCTTAATTTGGAAACCCACAAGACTGTGATGTTTTCTAGTATTCCTCAGGTGTGAAGCGATGCTGTACCTTTGTTTCAAAATGAAGAGTTGATTTCTTTTCATCACTGGCACAGACGTGCTGCTCTTTGTGTCCAAACTAGTTTTTATTTGCAGCTCGGTGTGCGTTTGCCTCACTACTGTCACAATGCTTTCCTTAGGTTCATGACTTTTATCAGCATTTGTGGCCTTACAACTACCTTTGTGCAAACTTTAGGACGTCCTCGTGTTTCGTTGCAGGTTGTGGTCCAGTTGAACGAGGAGCTTCCATATTTATGCAATCAATGAGTCTAAGCTTCTGGACTGAGGAGCTGACCCGGCTGAGGGTGAGCCCGGACTCAAACTTCACCTGTGGTCTTGGTTCCGTGTTGCTCTGCGGGTGAATACCCTCCACATCTGAGGAACGCGTAGTTTTAAAATACCCTCTTTGCTAAATCTTTCAAGAATTGCTTTTAAGTAGACCTTTTACTATATTTTCTGTTTTGTCGTCGATTTTGTAGTTTGCCCTACTTGAATTGTGAGGAACGATTTGTAAAAGGTTTGCATTTGGCACAAGGAGCAGAAACAACCCTACTGGCCCATATTTATAGTCAATGTGAATCAGAAGGCGTCTAGTTGTTGGAACGGTGTGTGTTTGTGTGTGAGCAGCAAACTCATGGCAGGGAGAACGCTTCATTTCCTCTTCCAACGAATTTCATCACCACTTTACTGCTGTAGCTGATGTGATGTTTGAACTGTGGCTTTCTGTGACCTCATCTGGCACCACTGGTGCCATCCATATGGAAAACATCTATTCCAGGAAATTATTTTGGTAGACGTATATCTAGCATGAATTGTTGGACCCATCGCCTTCATTTATCCGTTATTCTTCAGGTTAATTTTGTCCGAGAGCTGGTTTTTATTCAAGCCTTCTGGGGAACAGAAGCCTTAAATGCCACGTTCTGTTCTACTCGATACTTCTACTGTGCAACTGAGCTGCTTTGTCAAGATCCCAACTTTAAATCAGCCTTTTATTGTGAAAGAGAGCGCTTGCTTCCCTTCTGAGCTTTGGTTTGTCTCACGGGGTTCTTCGGCAGTGTCCAGATGTGTCCAGATGTGAGAATGGATGGAGTTCTTGTAATACCACTTCACCCACCCTGCTGTCCTAAATGTTGCGTAGATGTCAACGATTTTAAATGTTTTTAAAAGTAAAATCTTAGTGTTTTAATGAATAGGTCTTTAGAACAGGGCTGTAGCAGTTACTTTAAAATATTTGATTTTTGGTTTATTTCACGAACATCCTGATGTAGTTATTTTTAAGTTATTGTTTGTTTTATTTGTGGAACTTTGCCTCCAGAAGCCATAGGTGTGTGTGTTCACTTCAGGCGCCGCGGGCGTGTGTTCACTTCAGGCGCCG